GGTGCCAATGGTTAGGCACCAAGCCGAGAGATGAAAAGTTGGTGGTGCAAATAAACCCAGAGGTACCTCAGAACAAAGACCTGGCGATCTGCTCCTGCAAAGTCACAGCTTTCAAAACCCCATGAAACAGCTTTACTAGAATCTACTAGACAGCAATTGGTTTGGGTTTTGGTTGGTTTATCACCGATTAGGCCCAGGGTATGTGCATATCTGGTCCCATCATTTCTCCAAGTCCTGATGGATTTGGGGCAACGCCTGTGCAGACCCTGCAGTTGGGGGATTGTCAGGGAACGCTGAGGTCCGCAGTAGCGCAGGAATGTGGTTTGTGGCTGTCATGATGTGCCATCAGTTGTGACCCATAACGATCCTATGTAAACAGAACAAAATGCTGTCCAGTCCGGTGCCTTCCTCACAGTCATTTCTACGCCCGAGCCACTGTGCCGATCCATCTCGTTGAGGGCCTTCCCCTTTGGCGCTGCCCCTCTATTGGTAGGGAGTTTAGAAGGGGGCACTGTAGAGCTTGAGTGGACTTCATCTCATTGGCCTCTAGGACTCCCTACCCTACACTAGGGGCATCATTCGTCCCCTCTTCCAGCTGTTCCTGAGAATGCCACCTTCCTAGTGTAGAGCCCAGATCTGGGACTCAGGTGAACCAAGTTGAGGGAGTCTTTGGCCTCTCTGCTGTGCTGGATTTCCCGATTCCTTTGATCCCACTTTCTTCTTTATTGATTTAACTACTCTGGCAATGCACACTGCTAGGTGCTTGACCACAAACAGAAAGGTTGGCAATTCAAACACATGAAAGATAGATAGGAGGAAGGTCTGAGATTAGTTACAGTCATGAAGATCCTGTGGGGTCATTCTACTCTGCACACGTGAGTGAGAATCAACTCCGGCAGCAACAACAGGTTAGTTCCCTCGCCCTCATTCCAGTGGAATATATCTTCCATTGACTTCCTTAGAAAGGCACTTTTAGTTCTTTGGTGCTTCCTCCCCGCCCCCCTCCCACTATCATGTCCTCAATTCTACCTTACAAATCGTATTAGACCAGAACATGCACACTGCTACAGATAAGAGCTCAAAACACAGGGAATCCAGGATAGATAAACCCCTCAGGGCCAACAATGAGAGTAGAGATGCCAGGAGGATTAGGGGAGGGTGGGGGGAGAGAAGGGGAATCTATCACAAGGCTCAAACTAGAACCCCTTCCCAGGGGGACTAACAAAGGAAAAGTGGGTAAGGGGTGATGGAGGATGATGTAAGATATGAAAATAATAATCTATAACTTATCAAGGGTTCATAAGGGAGAGAGGGAGGGGGAAGAAATGGGAACTGATATCAGGGGCTCAAGTGGGAAGAGAATGCTATGAAAATTATGCTGGCAACATATGTGCAAATGTGCTGGACACACTGGATGAATGCATGGATTGTGATAAGAGATGTAAGAGCCCCCAGTAAAAGTATTTTTTTAAAAAGAAGGGAGTGGAATGCAGAAGCAATATTCAGAGTGGAGGTATGTTGGAGAGGGTCACCAAGTACCTGCATCATTATTAGGGTTTTATGATTAGCTCTTTGGCTTTTTAAATTGCCTACCCAAGGAGCAGAGAAAGTAATTAAGCACTCAGTTTATTCAAAAAGCTAGCAATTGGAACCCACCAGCAGCTCAGAGGGAGAAAAGTCCTGGTCACCTGCTCCCATAAAAATTAGAGCTGACGAACCCCCTTGGGACTATTCCATCCTGCCCGATAGGGTGGTTAGGGGTCAGGATGCACTCGATGGCACCTAGCAACAATGATCTTTTCATGCATTTAATATTTGCCTTTTCATCGGCTATGAGCGCAGAACAACCCTTAGGGAAGTTTTGGCTTTTTTCCTGGAAAGAATACCATTTTCTTTATTCTTATGTGGTAAGTGTGCTTGACCTGCAATAGGTGTTGTTAGGTGCCATCAAGTAGATTCCGACCCATAGCGACCTTATGCAAACAGAACGAAGCCCTGTCCAGTCCTGTGCCTTCCTCACAGTTGTTCCTCTGTTCGAGGCCATTGTTGCAGCCACGGTGTCAATCCTTCTTGTTGAGGGCCTTCCTCTTTTGCACTGTCCCGAGCATGATGTCCTCCAGGCACTGGTCTCTCCGGACAACGTGTCCAATTGGGAGTTAACCGTACTTGTTGAAGATCTTTGACTTTGTGTCTACATGGTCTATAATTGTGTTGGCACATAGTTAACATTTAAACAATTGATGAATTTGCTGAAGATATCTTGAAATATTTCCAAAAATAGAAGTTAAACATCTAAACGATTACGTACATAGAACTTAAAATATACATGTGTTCCATTTACTTATAAAATGATATCCAGAGGAATGAAAAAGGAATGCTTTTTTAAAAAATGACTCTTACTAATGGCTAAAAAAGAATCCTTTTAAAATAAATTGGTGAAAACATACACAACAAAGCATACACCCCTTCAGTAATTCCTGCATGTTTAGGCCAATTGGCACTGGTTACGTTTTTCACATTGTTGCTATCTATCTCTACCCACATTGTTTTACACTATTACCTTTGGCTCTCTGTGCCTCTGAAAAGTGTCATTTGTATTTTAGAGTTACTGTTGTCAACTGGATATCATTTAGACATTTCTTTGAAATAATACAGTATTCAAGGCTGGCATTCTTAAGTAATTGAATGTATCTGTGTTTAGTTTAAAGGCTCCTTTATGGATGGGTTCTGTTCAAGATTTAAAGATTATTTCAGGAAAATTGATTTGGGGGTTCCTCCAGTCTCAATGGAGCCAGTCATAATTTTCCTTTTTAAATTTTCCTTTTCGATTTTCCGCTGAAGTTGAGAAGTCTAGTTTTGAAGCCCAGACCTTAAGGCCAGAGGAGACCAACCCTTCGATGTCCCTTGCTTTGGTCTTCTGACCCAAGTGCCAGGAATGTCATGGCATTTCTGCTTTAGAAAAGCAGCTGTTGGTTTCTAGTCTGTTCTAGCCACTCACGACTCCGGTGCCAACTGTCAGGGGTGAGGAAAGGAGTTAGGTGCAGGAAAGAACCGTGGTCAGGAAACTTCCCTAGTAACTAGGGTATGGATAAACACATCCTTTGGAAGCATAGACATGTATTTGAAGTATTCCGAGAAGTGCGGGCTATAGGGCAGAGCAATCAGTTCTGGTCTGTAAGGTAGGAGAGACTTTATGGTTCTTTTTGATGAGCTGATAATGAATTGATTTTCATGCTGGGTCACACTTGCCAGCTATTTAATTTAAATTAAGAAATATTTGTTGAGTCCCTCCTAAATGCAAATAACTATTCTAGGTCCCAGGAATAGAATGAAAGATGAGTTAAGATACAGCTTTTGTTTTCAGCAAACTTTACTGCATATTTCCTCATTCTTTTTCTTGTAACCCAATGGACAGACTATATTGTTTCCAAATTTACAACTTCTCAATCATTTCCCATTTCTTGTAAGGCAGAACTCAAATGCCGTTGCATGATTCCCAGGGTCCCTCATGATCAAATTCTAGTGTCTTTTCATAATCCCTTCAGCTATGTGCAGCTTCTTGGTATACTAAGAACAAGCCATGCCATCAATTTTTTAAGCGTTATAAAAATATTTATAACAAAACCTTGGCCTAGTCAGCAGTTTTCAGGTTTACAGTTTATTATACACTACTTACGTTAATCGTGTTATTCAACCACCACCCTTAATCATGGCCAAATTCCCAACCACCATAAGCAAGAACTCACTATTCCTTAGTCATCCATCGCCCATCATGATCTTCTCTTAAAACTATGGGTGCCTATGACCGGACTCTTCCTTACTCTTGACAATTCAGGTGAACTCTCCCCTACTCTATGACACACAGGCAAAGGGACTTTACCTCCGACTGTATTAGGAGCCTCTCTTCTGGCCTTCCTTCATGCCTGTCATGATAGGTATTCTAAATCACCTCATACTGAAATTGTTTGTATCCAGTTTATTTTTTCCCATGGTGGGAAATTCTCTCAAAAATGGAGCTGAACTCTATCCATCTTTATATCTACAACACATGCCATAATCCTGGTACATAACAACCCCAAGTCAAACTCATTGTCACTGAGTCGATGCCCACATATAGTGACCCCATAGGACAAGGTAGATCTGCCCCTGTGGATTTCTGAGACTGTAACTCTTCATGGTAGTAGAAAGTCCCAGTCTTTCTCCCAAGGAGCCCCTGATGGCTTTGAACTGCTTATCTTGCAGTCAGTAGCCCAATGAGTAACCACTATGCAGTCAGGTTTCCATCCTGGTACATAGCAGGTGAGATAGTTTATTGTGCCAGCCTGGCTGATAAACGCAGGTGGGATTGACTGAAGGGCGGAGAGATGGATGGCTTGGTGAGCCTTGCCTTTCTTGTCTCTCGCTCTGTGATCATCGGACCAGTGTGCGGCTGCCTTGCTTGTTCTGTGCCTCAATTTAAAGGCTACACTGCCTGTGGGACGCCTAGCCTGTGGACTGTGTTGCTGTAAGTTGAGGTCCCTTTAAGACTTCTCTGGAGCTGGTGACTGGCGGTTGGTGACCTGCCTTGTGATTGGCTGCTGTGCTGACATAGCCTAGCTCTCGCTACAAATAGAGGAAGATCTGGCATCAGACAGAGATTTGAAGGACTGCTAGTCTCTCAACTTTCTCTCATGGACGAGAGTTGCACTAAGCCATTTATAGTGCTTTCTAATTTAACTGTTTATTTCTTGTATTGTATATTTATCTGTATATGATTTAACAGTTCATTTCTCGTTATATATCTAATTATCGTTATAAGTAAATATATTATCAGGAATTTGGTTTTATCTCTCTAGAGAACCCTGTCTAACACAGCAGGCATTAACTTCCTGGTGGATGTGTGGAGGAATGAAATGGCTTCTTCCTCCATTGTCAATAATTTTTCAGTATGTCAACTGTTGATTTTTTAAGCTCCCGATGTTCTTTATTTCCCCATTGTTCATAATGAACTCTCTTTCCAGAATGCTGTCAGAAGGTTATATCAGTGGGATTGCCTACTGGAAGGACATCCAGTGGGACTGTGCATCTCAGCATGAACAAGTGGCTGAGGAAAAGGAAGAGGAGTCAAATGCGGATGCTGGTCTTGCCTATTCCTCTGTGGATGACACACAGGTGAGAAGTCTCTATGTGAGCTGCAAATCATCTGTCAAGTTTATTTCCTCAGTGCCTTCAAGAGAGAGTCAACCCAGCAGAAGCCAGAGAGTCACGGTGCTGCAGACAACCCCCAACCCTGTGTATCAAAGGCCAACCTTGACCACAGTTGAAATCTGTAGAGACCACAATTCCAGTAGAGAAACCTACTTGGTGCCACCATCCTGCAAAAGTATTTGCAAGAATTACAATGACTTACATATTGCAGGGGGCCAGGTGATGGCCATTAATTCAGTGACGACAGGTTTTCCCTCCGAGAGCAGTTTTGAACATGGCCCTTTGCTGAAGTCATCAGAGATACCTTTGTCCATGGAGGATTCCATTTCCACTCCACCCAGTGACTTTCCCCTCAAACCTATCCAGCGCTACTCATCCTACTGGAGAATAACAAGCATCAAAGAAAAAAACAGCCTGCAAATGCAGAAGCCTATTTCGAACGCGGTGTTGAACGAGTACCTGGAGCAGAAGGTGGTAGAGTTATATAAGCAATACATTATGGACACTGTGTTTCGTGACAATTCCCCCACCCAGATTCTGGCATCTGAACTGATCATGACAAATGTGGACCAAATTAGTCTTCAAGTGTCTCGAGAGAAAAATCTGGAGACTTCAAAAGCCAGGGATATAGTCATTAACCGTCTGCTACAGTTGGTGTCCAGCGAAATCAGCACTCCTAGTCTCCATATTTCTCAGTATAGCAATGTGAATCCATAGCGAGTAGGCTACCATTCATCTGTCACAGCTACTCAACCCCCAAGCAAGACAGTCTGACATTTACTCTGACTATGTGCAGGAGGAGTGTGGAAAGGAAGTCAAGAGCTAGGGAAGGAAAGGTTGGCTGAAAGTCAGGTGTGAATTGAGGGGGAAAGCTCATAATACTACACACAATGAAGGCACGTTGGAAGGACCTGTGAAGAGGTCTTTCAGAGAGGGCTTGACAGCACATTATAAAAAGTAAAAATGATCCAAAAAAAGAAGAGGTAATGATTTATTTAAAGGGGTCTAGAGATTGGTGTGTGTGTGTGAGAGAGGGGAATATAAACCAAATAAGAAACATATCACAGCAGAATGAAAGTCAAAAGACTTCAAAGTACACAGTTAACCATTTGTTTATTACCTAGATCAATCTCTTCAAGTTGTTTCTCCAAGTGAGCCAGGGGCTGTAGAAGGCAGTTACAGTTGGGTATAACATTGGGCTCAGACCTTTAAAAAATAAATGTTTGATATGCCTCTATTCTGTGTCAGTGGGTCATTTAACGATATAAAATTAAAATTGGAACAAATAGCAATGGTATTTGTCTTTTGAATGATTATTCCACCATTCCTACAGCCACAGAAATCCTCTGGCTCTCTATACTTGTGAAGATAACATTTTCTAAATTAAAAATGTCACATAGTCATCATTTAAAATACTACGGTTTACTTTGTCATGTATGATTTTCTTGGGAATATTAAGCTTCAAAAGAAATGAAGACTCTTATTGTTATACATTGTTTTCCTCTTCCTTTTGTCAATGCTGTCTCCATTCCTTTAGGGCAATGGAAGGGTCTTCTAGAGCCTCAAAATGAGGTTATCAACTCCAATTTCTCACCATAGCACATTCTGTACACTCATTCACATGTTGCATCTCCCCTCCCCTGTACAACTTACTTCTCTTCTCCTACCCTGTATTTCTCCTTTTGTTCTCTCACTTGTGCCTTCTATATGGTTCTGTCCTCTTAGTACCATAATGCATTGCCTCTCACATAATAGTTCTCAATAAATATTTGTTTTCTGACTAAAAGAATGGACGCCATAGCAGATACTACTGACTACCCAATAACCTGTCTTCTGATCCCATAAGGATTACAGCCTATGGAATCCTAAGGGGACAATTTTAGTCTGTCACATACAGTCACTACAAATCAGAATTGACTCAATGAAACTCAACGACAACATTGGTTGCTTTGTGCCTCGCACTCTGTTGAGTATGAATTATTTTATTTAATTCTCATAATAATCTTATGAGTGTGCCTATTATCTACTCCGTTTTACAGATGCTCAAAGTGGACTCAGAGAAGGTAAGTAATTTCTTTAAGAACACACAGTGAATGGCGGAATTGGAATTGAATCTAGTCCTGTTAGTCTGGAAAGTCCTGGTTCTTAACCATTACCATCTGCTTTTCATGATGGTCACTGTATTTATCTCATTAAAGACCAGCTTTATCCTCCAAGGGAAATCAATTCAATTGTTTTCCTGCATTTCTTGTGTTTTTGCTTGCTCTTCTATATATTTTTTTTTCATTCTCACCACCGCCTCCAACCTCCACCCACCCACACTCTGGAATGTCAGCTTTGATTTACTCATTTGTTTTGATACTGCTCCAAACAGTACTTGCACATCATAGGCACCCACTTATCAAATTGATAAGGTAGGGTCCAACACTGCATCTGGGGGGCAAAGGGAAGCACTGTCAATACGGAAGACCGATCATTCTTATGCGGAAAAAAAGGAGGATGGAGGTTTTCTTCTCAAGGAACAAAGTAACTGAACTACAGACTTTTCTCACAGCAGATTTATAAATAGTATACAAATCAACTGTGTTATGATTCAATATCATTATAGAGATTTTCCCTTCTCCTGACTCAGAAAAAATTGTGTTACAAGGTAGACTGATTCATTTTTCAATGAGTATTTATTGGATGCTGGTTTGTCTGGAATACTGTGTATTAATCATACACAGGGAAGACATACATACTATCACGCATGTGCGCAACACATACACACGCACAGGGGGAGAGGGAGAGGGAAAGGAAGAAGCAGAGAGAAGTATAGACCCTGTCCTTTGCAAGATTAGTCTATTGTAGGAGAAAGCTTTCAATGAATGTGTTAGTCTGGGTACTTTAGAGAAACAAATCCACAGAAACTCATGTATATAGAGAGTTTAATATAAAGGTTAAGTGCACATCAAGAAAAAAATCTCAACCCAGTGCTGCCCAAGCCCACAAGTCCAACATTAACCAATATGTCCATCACCAATCTATAAAGTTTTCCTCCATCTCACAAAACACACACTATGATGCCGACTGCAGGAGGAAAGCCGAATCAGTAAATGTGTAAGCATTTCAGTGCTGGAAGTGGTCTCCACATAGCTGCTTCAGCACCCAGGGCTGCATCCGGGTAGGTCCATGCGGCTTCTCCTCAGGGATGTCTTGCAGGAAGTGTGCCTTGCCAGCTGAAGCAGGGAACTGGCTAAGGCAGTTGCACTCTGGTCTGACCATCACAAAGCAAGAGACCCGAGAACTAGAAAGGTGAGGTTCACTGAGCCATTTAGCTCTCCGCCCTTCAATTAACCCCACATGTGTTTATTGGCCAGGTTGGCACAATCAACATTAACCATCTCAAGGAACAAATAACAAAGCCATTTATTAATCATTAACTTGGCAAAGTGGTACAAGGAAAACTAGGATTGTCAATGATTGTCACTCAAGTGGGATAGGAGACATACTATGGGAGTACAGGACAGAGCAAGAGCCCAGTACAGGGAAAGCTTCCAAGGGAAAGGGTTCATATAATGGCCTATTGCAGGAGAAAGATTCAGCTTTCTACTTCTTTAAAGAGTCAGTCTGAAAAACCCACAGAGGAAGTTCTTCATTTTCCTATAGAGTTGCTATGAGTAAGCATCTGCTTGATAGCAATGAGTGTGGGTGAGTGTGAAGAACAAGATAGGATTCAGACTGATGAGTGAGTAAGAGAGGTATTTGAGCCAGAGGTGTGAATATATGGTGCAATAAGGAGCTGCAAGTCATTGGATGCAATTGGAGCAAACTAAGAATCTATGGACAAGGTCAGTCTTTAAAGATGTGTGAATGAGCAGATCTTGGGGCTGTGTGTGTGTGTGTCTTTGGATGCCAAAGGGAGGGCTTTGAACTTTATCATAAGGACAATGCAAAGCCATTAATGTCTTTTCCCCATCCCAAACCAAAGTTCTCATGTGCTTATTAGGTATCAATATTTTAATGCAGAAGCATTAAAAACAATGAAGGGACTGGAAGTTTTCCAATACCTGCTCAGTTGATTAGATTGTGGGTAAATTTTTAATCTGATATGACCAAATGTTAGCCACTGTAGATAAATATGTATGGGATTACATGTATGACTCCTTCTAGACATAGCTTGATTCTTCTATTGGAATTATACCTTATTGGAATTGTACCTCATTTCAGTTTTCAGTCAAATCCATTAGAGGATAGGATGATTCTGCATGTCTTTTTTGGCTGAAAGTCTTAGAAGACATGGTGAGGATGGAAGGCAGCCTCACTCCCCATGGGGGTAGAAGAGGGAGAGAGGGCCCCTTAATGGCTTTTAATTGTTTTCTATAGCAGGAACCACAGTCTGGATGTATCCACTTTACTCAACTGTTTACCTGCTTATTGCCTATCTCTTGTACTAGAATACAATTTTCTTGGAGGCCAATACTTTGATTTTAAAAAAAATCATTTTATTGGGGACTCATACAACTCTTATCACAATCCATCGATACATCAATTGTGTAAAGCACATTTGTACATTCATTTCCCTCATCAATCTCAAAACATTTGCTCTCCACTTAAGCCCATGGCATCAGCTCCTCATATCTTCCCCTCCCTCCCCGCTGCCCCTTCCTTCATGAACGCTTGATAATTTATAAATTATTATTTTGTCATATCTTGCACTGTCTGATATCTCCCTTCACCCACTTTTCTGTTGTCCATCCCACTGGGAGGAGGTTATATGCAGATCTTTGTAATCGGTTCCCCCTTTCCAACCCACC